TAGTATGGTTTCGACCCAATACATCCGGTTATAAAAAAAATAAGAAGTTATTCGGGATTTTATAAAAAATACATTTACTTTACTATTTTTACTTCAACACATACTCTTCTATAGTTGTGATCCATGTGATCCATATGACCCGAAATATAGTGTGGTCATATATTGATTTTATTGTTCATAACATTAAATTTATGATGTTTTAATCAAATGGTTAGTAAGATATATAAGGTATGAACATAATGAATTAGTGTGGTCACCATAAATTTAACATTATAATAAATAAAATCAAAATGTGATCACAGTATATTTTGGGCCACATAGTCATAGGTGGAGAAAGATATCTGTTGAAATAAAAATAGCAAAGTAATGGTGTTTTTTATATAATGCCAAAATTATTCTTATTAAGGCAAAATAAACAAAAAAATCAATCATAAATCTAATGAATAAACTCTCAATTATTATTAGACCAAACGTTTATCTGTATTGCTTTTGTCCAAACCAATATATCTCTTCTAGAAATTACTAAGACATCATATGGTTATATATCACATGTAATTGTTGAAGAAAATAGATAACCATCCATAGTACCAGAATCACGGATATATGCACAATTTAAGTTATTCTTAATTGTGTAAACTAATTTATATAAAAATAACGAAAAATTAGTGACCGATAATAAATTTTGTGTAGATCAGCCTTTGTCCATGACCCCATACACATTGTACGTATCATAATTAACAGGACCGACGGTGTTTATTTGATTTTTATATATAATATACGGTTGAAGAGTAATTGACAGTAGAATTAGTGAATATATTTTAAATATCTTTGGTTACTTCCGAGTTTTGTGTTGTGGACGAGAACATGTAAATTTCACTGTAGGATCCTTTTATCCCGACGAGAACATACATACATACATACATACATACATACATACATACATACATACACACACACACACATACATATATACATGATACATATATGCTGATATGAGTCTTTGTAAACAGAAAATTTCTAGGGTTCTTTGGCACGAAGCAATGTGTTAAATCAAATCAAAGTTTTTATCCTTATCTTGTGGTGATATGCAGTATGTTGTGGTCACAAGAGAGGCCACAAGAGCTATGTGCAAATAAATCCAAGAGAGATGAGCTTTGAAAGCGGCTTAACAATATAACCCGGACCATCCCGAAATCCACATCTACCAATCACTCTACCTTGCACCACTCTAGTCTTACCTTAATGTTTCACATGATTTTGGACTCATCATATTCAACATGTTTTGGACATTCCACGAGTGTGTTGATATATATATACCATCTTTAGGTATATCAAATTTTCTAGTAGTCAACCCATTTAAAAAAAAAAAAACTCATGGAGTTGAAATGTTATCGATTTTTCTTCTTGAATTCGGTAATTCGCTTTGCCTAATCTATAAGATGTATGCAAATTATCTTAATCATATAAGGTTTTAAGTTTTACGCAATGTAGTTCTATCGATCGAGTTGATTGCATATAATTTGGGACGCACTTGTAAGTGTGAACTAATTATTACATCTAACATGAAAACAATGTTAGTATACCTAATCGTATTAACATACCTAACATTCATCACATACACAAGATTTAGAAAGAAATGTGCCTTGTACACAAACCTCAACGACTCCAAACACTTTTTCTCCACCTCCATAATTAATATCTACTAAATAATAATATATAGGAGAACTACTAATGTGAAAATACATAGAGAAAATTCATCAACTGCTTGGGAATTGAGGATTAAACGATGGATTATGAATGTGAAAAGAGAAGGAAAGAATCAAATGAGTCTAAATGGGGAATATATATATACACACATACAAAATATAAGGAGACCGCACCAATTATCAAAGAAGAAGAAGAAGAAGAGAGGCCAAGGGAAATGCATATGTTATATCATCTCTCGAGAGATGTTCAAGTAGAAAGGAAGATGTGGTTGGGAAGTCGTCTAAGACGATGTTACAAGAGAAGATAAGAAATTGATTTCATTTTCCTTTTTTTTTTGGTCATAGAGAGAGATAATTCAAATGATTTATCTATATGGATTTTAAATATGAAAAAATATATTATTAATAAATAGGGTTTGGGGGGTGGGGGTTGTGAGGGAAACAATGGTAAATGGAGGGGGTGAGGGATGTTGACAAGGCAAAAGACACGACCTTGGGTTTGAGATGTTCCTCACTTCTCCATTGGATGTGACCTGTCTCTCGCTCTTCACCATCCATGCTTCCAAGTCACTCACATTACCCAACAATTAAAATTTTAAAATAAAAAATAATTTTAGCGAGTTATAACAAAATAAAATTCATACTGTAAAATGTTTACGGATTTTGAAATTTAATATATTTAACCTTATGACGGTCTTTTATAATAAAAATTTGAATATGAGTAGATTAATAGGGATAGATAATCGGTTAATCAAGTTAAACGATCATATTAACGATATTAGTGTATATTCATTTTTAATATATAAGAAGATTAGATATAATTACTTTATGAATTTCTCTTTTTGTATATATATAACTGTTATTTGTTTACGTTATTTTCACCATCCTTAGCCTAAAAAAAAGCAATGGGAAATCACACAGATTTTTAATTATTTTTTATTTTTTAATTAGTCATATTCCATTACTATCCAATGATTAACTTGCCATATCAATGATATAAATTTATTATTATTCTAATAAATGAAAATAAGCTTTAATTGTCATGCAAATTAATATTTTTTTTCATGAATATCGGCCCTTTTCTGTGGGTCGAATTATTTGCTCATGTGATTAATACATGATTTGAAGGTTCCGGGAACAATCTTTCTTTAATTAATTGTTCATATTGTAGTTCGGAATATTATAATCATCAATTGACATTATTATTATTATTATTATTCTGAGTTTCTCCTCAAATCTGTCAGAAGACTCAGAACAATTTCCACGGAAATTCAGGAAGATGTTGAGAGAAATTGTCATAAATCATAATTATATTTAACAGATTATCATTAATCAAATTAATTATTTGTTGTATTAGTCACGGTAGCTCATGCATCAGTTATTTTACGGGATGTTGACTTCCCCATTTTGAGATAAATAATTATATTAATAAAAACTTACCACTGAATACAAGATTGGAAACGAAAAACAAATCTAATAATTCTGGTAAAACGAAATAAATGAAGAATAAAATTAAATAAATAGAAATATAAACCAAACATAAAACATGAAACATATGAATTTTTTAATCACATGTATATCTTCTTTACATCAATATTTACTGAAATTCATATCGATTTTTAAAATTTTATTTATACGGACATATACATCAAATTAAATCAATGAAAAAGGTCGTCATTCAAGTAATTGATCCTACCCGAGTGCATTGTATATATTCTTTGTCCACGTCAGCGATTTTTAGCCTAATAAATAATGAATTGTATAAATTCGATTAACTGAATTTTACTGCCCATTTCCATTTGCAGTACATGTGATGAACAGTTGACCAAAAGACTGTTTAATAAATAGGAAATAAGCAAATGTTATTAGTTAGTGGCAAAAAATAATTAATTAAAAAATATATAGGCATACAGAGGGGAAGAAACTGTGTAATTATAGAAAATTGTATCCGGTAATATTATATGAATGTCCTTTAGCCATATATGGTAATTGCTTGCAATTGCCAATATTTATGTAAGTCTCTTACAATTTTTTTAGTAAAAAACTATACTTTTAAATTCAATAAATCACATGTGTCCTTCAAAAGATATGTTTATTTAATCGGATCGTAACTATGAAACTTTATATAATAAATACAATTTAAACCTACTAAATATATACATTTTGTCTATATATAATAATACATAGTTCAACGATATAATTCAACGGATTAAAAGATACACTAATATACCAATTTTGTTGAGTTTTCGGGACAAATATGAGTTATTTACGTCTTATAAATATATTATCAATTATGTGTTAAACCAAAAAATGTATATATATACACATTTTTGTGGATACATCTATCTATCATGCCCTTATAGATGCAATATATTCAATAAAAAGGGCAATATGCATGGAATATTCATTCGGACAATGAAATATGTTTCACTTCACACCTCCCGTAATCAATATATATATATATATAAACACGTATTAATTAGGGATGTATATCTTACGTAGATATTAGATAATAAAATTAGGAGGAGGAAACCCATGAGAATATTTTTTAGGTAATCGGGTACGTTAGACTACGACTTTAATTAATCTTGGGAGTGGGAATTATCCAATTGATTTGGATTCTATGTTCCCTCCCCAAATTCGAGATTCGAATTCGGCGTGGAACAGACGTTTTGTATCTCTATATTTACCAATTGAATTATCCAAATTTGGGTGGAAACTATGAAAGTTGCCAAATATTTCATCTTTTATCCAAGAGGTTGCAGATTTAACTCTTTACTGATTTCCTTTTCGTCCATTAGATATGGTTGGTTTATATCTCTCGTATTCTCGTATACATCGTGGGTTCGTGAACAACGCGACCAAAAGGTAGCGGCTGGAATTCTCATGTTATTAAAGAAATTAAGCGAGGAGAGTGAGTATATATACTGTAAATAACATTGACACGGTACGCAATTCACCGATGGAGCTATAAATAAAGATATCTAAGTCTAATTTAAGCCACGTGTCGAGAACCCACAAATGAAGAAGAGAAAGAAGCAATGACATGCAGTCATGCACATGCAGATACACGAATACATACACAACAGGCCAACCCCCACACACACACTCCCCTCCCCCCCCCCCCCTCTCCCTCATACTTT